CAGTGAATAGTGTACTTATAATTAACATAAAGTATTATTTTAAAAACAAAACAATTAAAGTAGTTTGGTTTTCTTGAGCTCAAAAAAAAAAAAAAAAAAAAGAATCTGGAATCTTCCTTTCATTTATTCCAGTAGTCTATGCCAATCCATTCTAAAGGGCAGTCGCCAAAGAGAAAAGAAAGAGTCATTCCCCTCTTCTTCATATTCTTTTGATTTAAGGAATAGGGCTTTTTAAATGTAAAGTGTCTCACACACTTCTGTCTGGCTTAGAGAGTCCTAAATTTAAAACACATTCAGGCAGCTTGAATGACTACCTTGATATAATATTTTAAACCTCTGTGTTTGTGAAATTGAGATTCTCCACATGACTTTTTATTAAGAGTATGATTCTTTTATACCATGCATCAAAAGTCATATTTTTATGTTTATTTATGAATAAATTATGATGTAAGCATTTAGCATTATGAATTGTTTCTGATTACCTGAAACATTTCTGGTTGAAAACTACTTGAAACGCGTTCTAATTTGGGTGAAAACAATTCAGAAAATAGATTAAGGTTTTAGAATGAACCTCTTGATTTTTCCTTTGAATTATATTTGATTTCTGAGGTTTTTCATTTTCCTTGTAGTTTGGTAAAAACTGTAGATTATTCCCCAACTTTTCTTGGGGATAAAGTTTCTTAACTTTAGGTGAAAATTGTATGAGTCCATAATTAAAGACTCTTATGTGGGATAAAGAAGATGGATTTTTAAAATAATGCCTTCCAGTGTAAGATATTTTTCAATTTGGAAGAAATTCTTGATAGTTAATCCCTTTAAAGAATTGGGTGAAGTATAACAGAACACCTTCTACATTTGAATCTTTAGAAAACAACGAGACACATTTTCATTTCTTGGGGCTACCAAAAGAGGGCCAGTTTAGTAGTGATCTACCCACATTTTGGAGAATTTGACAATTTTTTTTTTACCTTAATGGATTTAATAAAGTATATGTGGATGTCAGGGAAAGGAGAATCCACTGGTGTTCGGAGGACAAGAAAGCAAGAACTCTTAAAGGCACCTACAATTTTCTGTAAGTTAAACTAGTTAGTATTAGTACATCCCCCATGTGGCTACTTAATGCTTTTTAGGCAAAATAAAATGGGCTAGAAAAGAAATTTAATAAATTCTTGGCTCAAAAAAAAAAAAAAGAATTCTGGGCTCAAATATTAGTTATTTAGTTACCTTATTTGGGGCTAAGCTGTATTTCATTTAAAGGCATCAGGAACAAACATCGTTTGGGTCAGTCCCTCCATTGGATGACTGGGGGATTGATGGGAAAGCTTGGGGTGGCAAATAGGTCATATACTTGGGAACTGGGAGATTTCGTCTCCTAAAGGGTGAGCCCGAGTGTCAACAAGTGACCAAATGCCTGTGGATTTTTTTTTTCTTGCTTTTTTCATTCTAAGTAATATTAATTACACGTCCAGGAGCCGAGGTATTTCTTGGTACTGGGCCATTTATCTTGAGAACTAACCTGCCTCACACACTGCGTTGAGAGGTCACAGACGTTACCGTACTAGCTTTGCAGGTGCCCCTGGAAATCTAAGTCCTAAAACCTAGAAAATATTTTCTAAATATTGTATACAGTGCACAGCTTTGTAGATTCACCCTGCCAGTGGGTACGTTCGGGTTTCTACAATGGTGAGGGTGAAAGTCAATCTGAAAAAATAAAAAAGAAACAAAATAGTCTTTGGAAATAGATACAATTTGCTTTTATTCTGTGTCTGTACTCGCTCAAGAAAAATAAAGAGCACTTTAAAAAGCTTTTTTTTTTTAGGTCTCTGCTGTTTCACTCAACTAAGATAACTTTTGATCAGTGATTTATTTTGAACGATTTTCTTTTTAAAAGGAAACGTTTTGTGGTGCTGGTGAAAATTGTTCTAAACTCCCCCCTCCCCAAAACCACCACCCCTGCAGAGAGTAACAAGGTTTATGTAACCTAAAGCTTTGGTGGGAGAAATCTAAATTTTATTTAAATAGAGCTTAACCTCTGGGCCATCTAATATGCTGTGTCTGTACTAAGTCAGGTTAGTATGTAAATAATATAAATATAACCAGAAATGTAACAGGGGTATTTAATACTCATCAAATTTATTTCTAAAATATTGCCATGGATTCAGAATCTTGAATTCCAACCAGATGTATTTCGGGAGTATTACACAGGTCATATATATTTCACTTTTTTGGTTCAAACCCAGGGGATCTACACGATAATTAGATTGAGAACATCTGCATCAAATTCAAACCATTTCCCTGATCCTTCCTTGAGCCTTCCCCATGGGAGGGATTTCTTTTTCTTTTTTTTTTTTTTTCTTTTAAGCCCCTGCATATTTTATTTGTCTAGCCACCTTTAGGGCAATTCCTAGGGCTCGCTTGCCTGCCACCGCAGAAATAGACATGCGAGGGGAAGGCAGGACGTCCCCCCCACCCCCGCCGCCTCCCCAAGTGTGGAGGCATCGTTAAGAAGTGACATTTTCCTGGGACAGGAGTGTCCCGCGGAGGCAATGCCACTTCCCGCCAGGACCCAGACTCCGGGACAGGGCGTGGCTAGGCGCGGGGGCCCGGGCGCGCCGGTGGGCACGTGCACTGGGACCCGAGGACCCGAGTGCCGGGGCGCCGCTGCCCTCTACCGGGCGGCGCGGTCGGAGCTACAGCGCGGTCGCCGGCTGACTGCGCGCGCGGGCTGGGACGCCCCACACAGAGGCAGCCCTAGGACACCCGAGATCCGCAGTGCCCGCTCTGCGCGGCGTCACCGCATCTGGGGTGGAGGCTCGCGACCTGCCCCCGGCGCCCGCGCGCTCCCACCCACCTGCGAGTCAAGGTTGTGCTGGGGACGCAGTGAACCCCGCTCCCGACGTCAGGGGCCTCCCTTTCGAGAAACGGAGGCCCTGGCCAGCCGCGCAAGACCTGGGGACACGAGTGTTCTCTAAATCTTGGGATTTTCATTTCCAAACTCTTCCTCCAAAAATGCCGAATTCACTGCGCCAACCCTCGACCTCAGTTGAAAAGCCATTATTTTCCACTTGCGCGTTTTATTTTGTATCCTCTACAGATTTTATTTACATATGCATTTTAAGATTAAGGAATTGGGGGACTTGTTTTGACTAATTACTCGTTAAATACCTGCAGGAGAGTCACAAAGTACAGTATTCCTACTGGAAACTCCAAGTCACACGTGTTTATGAAAGATGACGATCATAAAGCGTGTGCTTTCGCCAGCTTTCCGCCAGGAGAGGAAAGAGAATTTAGTTTTTGGTTTGCATTTTAGCATTTCTGTAAACTTAGGACCACGCTTTCCGTTTTCAGTGAGTGCACCCACACCTTTCCAAAACTTTCTGCGCCCAAAGTTGCAACAAACCAAGGTGTCTGAACCACAGGAAGTTTCTTGGGCTGTTCCGCTGAAGCGGCGCGGGGGGACACAGAACTGGGCTCCCAGACTTTTCCTGTGGTGGCCTAAACTGCAGCGGCTTGGGCGAATGGGGGCTGCCGGGACCCCCGGCGCCACCGCCGTTGTGGTGCTTTCGGGCGAGAAGCCGGCATCGCCGCGGCCCGGGCGTGGGGCATCCACGCGCGCGGCGCCCTGAGAGGGTTAGGGCTGTTTCCCCCCCTAACTCCACTCCTCCAAACATGCGACGCCGTTCCTGGTCGTCTCGGTGTCCCCGTCCTCGCTGGGCGCGGAGAGATCGGAGTGTCGCCGTCCACCGCCCGGGCGCCTCCCACGCGCGCGGCCGCTGGGGGCCTGGGCCACGCAGGGGTCTGGTGTGGGGGGGCCCCGGGCAGGTGGTCGCGGCGTCTCCGCGCTCTGGATCAGAACGACCGACGTACCCCCCCCCCCACCGGAGCCCCGAAGGCGCTGCGCTCGGCCACCGCGGGCGACCGCGACCCCTGCAGGGGACCCCCGGCCCTCCCCAGGTGCGCGGTGCCGGGGGAGCCCGGGCGCTGCCCTCCAGCGCCCCCTCGGGGCCGGGTCTGTGGCCGGCGCGACCCCGGACTGGGGGGGGGTGTCCCGAGGGGCGGGGGTCGCCGGCCGGCCCGCGGAGGGGAGGGGGAGGGCGGCGGTGAGGGGCTGAGGGAGCAGGGGCCGGGGCGGCGCGCGCGAGGCCGGGCCGCGGCCGCCGCGCCCTGGGGCTGCGACTCCGGCTCCGGCTCGGGCTCGCCATGGCTGCGGCGGCGCCGTGAGGAGGAGTCCGCGTCCTCGGTGGCGGCGGCGGCGGCCGGCTCCAGGCCGGGTTTTGGCGCCGCCCGCCTGCTGCCTCCTGGCGGCTCCTGAACTCCAGCCCCCTCTCTATCAGCCGCTCACTCCGTCTCAATATGTCTCAAGATGGCGGCCAATGTGGGATCGATGTTTCAATATTGGAAGCGCTTTGATTTACAGCAGCTGCAGGTCAGGCTCCTCCGCGCTCGGCCTCGCGCCCGGGGGTGGGGGCTGCGGGCGGTCGCGGCCTCCGCCGGGGGCCCCGGGCTGGCCCGGCCGCCGGGGGGCCCGCGGCGGCGGGGAGGAGGGGGGTGCCGGGCGCCGCGGGGCCGAGTCGGGGCCGAGTCCCTCCCGCTCCCCGGCCCCCATTGATCACCCGCTTGATCGGAAATTGATCCTCTTTGTTCAATTCATCGATCAGCCCAAGATGGCGCCGGGAGCCGCCGCCGCCACCGCTGCCCCCGGTGTCTGCCCCCACCCCGGGCGCCCCCCCGGGCCCCGCGCCGCCGCCGCCGCCGCCAGCGCCGCCGCCGGCAGCGCTGCCGCGGGACCGGGGAGGGGGCGGCCCCGGCGGCCCGCGGGGCGCTCGCGCAAGCGGGGAGCGGGGAGCGGGCGGCGGGGGGCGGGCGGCGGCGGCGGCGGGCGCCGGGAGGGGGCCGCGGCCCGGCGGTGGCGCCCGCCCGCCTGCTCGCCCCGCGCCCCCGGCCCGCCGTATTCCCGGGGAAAGTTTGTGGGGAGTTGCTGCGGGGGGTGAAGCGCCTGCCTCTCCAGGAGGAGCCGCCGCCACTGCCGCCGGCGCGGCGGAGCTGGGGCTGGTGGCGCTGTGGTGCCGCCGGCTCGGGGGAGGGTCGGAGCAGCCACCGGCGGCGGCGGCGGCGCGGCCCGGCTCCGGCCAGGCGGGCTGGTGGCCGGGCGGGCGCCCGCACTCCCTACCCCGGGCCGGGCCCGGCCGTTGTCCCCGCCTGTCACCGGCCCGGGCCGCGCCGCCCGCTCCGGCACCCGGCGCGTGGCTCGCGGCACGGACCCCCGGGTTTGTTTACGTCCCGGGGAGCGCCCCGGGGCCCCCAGCGCACCTCGCGTCCGCCCCGCTCTTTTGTGTGCCTGTGTTGGTGGCGGGGACCTGCTCCTCGGTGGCGGGGGACCCCCGCGGGGGTGCTTTGGGGAAACTTGGCGAGGGGCGGCGGGGGTGCCCGGCGCGCGGTGCCGCTGGGTCGCGGTGTCCCGGACCGCCGGGTGCGGGCGCGGGTGGAGGAGGTTGCAACTTTTCCCGAGCGCAGGCCCCGCGCTGTTCCCCCGGGTGCCCAGGCCTGGGACGCTGCCTCCTCGCCGCCGGTGCGAGCGGCGAAAGCTGCGTGCCAGGGGGCTCCGGCGGCCCCCGGTAACCTGCGGCTCCACCTCCCTTCCTGGCCTTCCCCGCGGGGCTTCTGCCCTCTCTGCAGGGCCCACCATGGAGCGCGCGGCGGGTGCGCTCGAAGATGCCTTCTCGGGCCGGGTTCTCGAAAGCAGAGCCCCGGGGGCCCGTTGGGATCTTAGCGTACCGGGCGGTGGTCCGCGAGGGGAGTCCCCGGCGCCACGCGGGGACAGTGCCGGGGCTCCCCGGCCCGCGCCCGAGCCACCGCCGCCGTGCCCAGGGGGCGAGTGCCCGCCTGCCACCCCCCGCCCGGAGGAGCGGCGCGCCCTTAGGGTCCGCCCCGCACGTGCCAGCTCGGCGCCCGCGGCGCCCGGACAGCCGCGGGACTCTGCCAGGTGGATGTTGTGCGTAGCCGGAGCCAAGTTGAAGGTGAGCTGCGTGTGGGCCAGAAGCCCCGAGACTGCAGGCGCGAGGGGAACCCGGGATATGTGTGTGTGTGTGTGTTGGCGGGGTGGTGCCTGGGTCCGGCGGCTTAGAATGGCCCAGGGCGGCCTGGCACTCTCGGAGGGATAGGAGGGTTCCGCAAGGCCCCTGGGGAAGGGCTACTGCTCCGGCTTGCTAAGGTGTGCTCGAAGGTAAACTTGGCTGAACTTTCTTAACCTGGAGGAGTGACTGATGACAGTAACCTACAGCATTACCTTTGGGAGCAAAGCAGCTGAACTCGAGATGCAGGCTTGTATGAAACGAAGCGAGTTGGATTAAAACATATTTAAATGGAATCTGACAACTTTAATTGTATATGCTTGTTTTCGGCTCTTGCCTACGTAAGAACGATAAAGCCGAGTCATAGTCGTTATGAAATTTCCTGAAATTTCTCGCTTAACTAGGAAGAAGACTATGCGAAATATGTATTTCCGATAAGATTAAAACTTAAAGGAGTCTTGAGTATTTATTGACTAAAATAGATTACTCCAAAGTGTCTATTGTGTAAATTAGATTCCTGGATGTAATGAACACAGCCCAATGGCATTTTTGATAAATTGGTCTACCCTGTTTTAGTAAAAATAGCTCCCTTTTACCATAATTTAATTCCTGTGCTTACTGTAAAACCCGTTGTAGAGTTTTAAAGAGACAAACCATATTATTTTTTTCCCTCGTCTTCCTAAATATGACATCGTTAGCTTAGTATCAATGAAGTTTCTTTTTTTGAGCACCCCGGCAAAACTGCCTGAAAAATGGATTTGGTTTCTAGAGTTACTAGATTTGAAGAACTCTGTAAACCGTTCTGTCCCCTCTATTAGCTACTTCTTCAGGGCTTCAGAGCTCCGGGATTCCATGGAAAGTTTCCACGTCCGTTTACTTGCACTTCTTAATATATATAAGAAGGAAACAAAGCCAAACCCGAAAACAAAATCCCTTATCTGAACGTCGTTCCTCTTTTACTGAGCACCCCTTTGCTTTTGGTGTTTGCTAACGGTTTGGCCTTAGATGATTTCCTATGGGTTTGCAAACTTCCATTGAATATGGAATGTCAAAGTTCAAGTCTAAGTCCAATCTGGTTCTTTCTCTGGGCCCTGAGGAGGCCTTTGGAGTCGGTGTCTGGTTAATTCCCACCGACAGTCGGTGAGCCAATAGGACGACAGTTTGAGAGAGAATTCATTAGTTTCAGATTCTTCTCATCTTTCCAGACCTCTTTATACTGAGATTGGGTTGCCACCTGGGGGTAAAGAGGCTGAGTGGTCTCAGCAGAGACAAATCCAGCTTGGAGATGGTTGTAGATGTCAGCTGGTCCAGGTGAGCTTGGGCAGCTCGGGAGCTCTGCAGCCACCCAGTGAGCCAGGGCGGCCAGGTTCTTATCCCTCGGCTTCCTGGGTCTTGAAGCTGCCGCCTTGGCACCGGAGTGAGTGCTCGGGGAAGAGAGTTTCTGAAGACTCTGTTTTATTCTGTTGCCTTTTGACTCCCAAAGGTTCGTGGTGTGGAAGTTTCAGTGCTGTGGCATGGCTAAGACTAGTTGGACAAGTTTTTTTTATCCTATCTCAGACTTGTAAAAACCAGGGTTTTCTTTTTAAATAAGAAAAGCACAGTTGCATAAATTTGTCTTCTAAATACATATTTGAAAAGAGGATGCTTTCTAAGACAAGCTCGTGGCACTCTGTATGTCGGTGGAGTTTTGAGCTCTTTGGGATGGGGCCTGCCAGTGACTGCCTTCCCACGTGGTGGCCTGCTTTCCCCTAGCCTCTGAACAAGTCAGCTTGCAAAGTTGCCTTCTTTTTCAGAATCAAAAATCAATTTCAGTTTTTTGCTGAAAGTCCGTTTTCTGATGGCTCTTTTTCCCCGCATTGTGGAAATGTGTATGTTACTGGCTGCCCAGTACTGCTTGCCATAATAAGTATATTGTTTTAACTCAAATGTCCCACCTAGTACCCTTTATAAAATAACAATTCAAGAAATTACATTGCTGCTGCTCCTGTTTTTGTTTTCTTGGTTCTTTCAATATGGGTGTCTTTGAGGTTGGATGAGGGAAGGGGTCATTGGCAGTTGATTTAAGTTTTTTTCTATGTGAAACTCTTTTTCCTTAAAGGTGCAAGATGGTGAAGGGATAGCGTTATTGCAACAACTGGTGCGGTTGAGTCCACGGAGACCCCTTTGACCACACTGTCGGTTTCATGTGTCTTCTGTGGGTAGTTAGCCAACCTGAGAAAGTTGAAAGGGCCAAATAGTCCAATACCTTTAGGAATGATTCTCTCCTAAATCCACTGAGGTAATGTTTAAAATGCAGTCTGGTGAAGTGTGCTGAGCCTAAGAGCTTTAATGGCTATTTTAAAAGTCTCCTGTCGCCGTACAATTAAGACAAACCCCATCAGGGTTTATATGGTATCTGCAGAAACAATAGTTTGTGCTCTCTGATTCCCTTCGGGGTCTACCTGTAGCAGCGAACAATCAAAACGGGTCCTGAGGCTGAACTCACTCTCTGTGTCTTAGGGGAGAAAGCAAGGCTGGAAGTAGAAAATCTACTTTCGTTTCAGCTCCTCTGTAATGCCCCAGGAAGTCTATGTTTGTAGTGAAATGAAGGAAGGACACATTTGTTAGGGGAAAACTTGTAAATTTCGTAAACACAGAATTTCACCCTATGAAGAATACTACTACAGAGGTAGGTTAAATTCCTCCTGGTGCTTTTTCCATTTCAAATAGTTTACACATTTGTCACATGTAAATTTCACAGCCGGCTCTATCTGACCAATTGTAACACAAATGCTACAAAAGGCAACTCTGTTATTTGGATATATAGGATAGTGAGTTATTGTAGAAATTACTTAAGAACTATTTAAAATTACTGAATACATATATAACTTTAAAAAATGTAATTGCTCTCCCCATGCAAAGTGATTTCTCTTAGTAATTGTCAAAGACAGAAATTTGTCTGTCTCGTCCTGTTTTGTCTGAAGCCCCGAGTTATCGCTGCAGAGAGAGAGTTTTGGTTTCCACTCAAATTTCCCTGCCTCCGAGTGTTTAAACCAGACCCTTAATCTTATTTTAACGTATTTAAAATGTTCAAAAAACCCGGAAGAATTGTTTTGTGTAAGTAGCAAGCGAATGTAGCTTAAACACTCAAGCAATTCTGGTATCTAATTGGAAACAGGTGGAATTCTTGGAATCCCATGTTTGAGTCTTTTTATAGCAAAGCCCAGGGACACTTTTCACTTATAGCCATTCGTTTTGCCGAAGCTATTTGAAGAGGGGCCCCACGGCCTCTCCTTATGTCCCACTGTTATTTACCTGGACGAAGCAGTCATGCTGGGCGTTTTAGGAACTGGATACTTGTGAATGTCTAGATGCCGAGAGAAGTGTGTGTGTGTGCAGATAATGGAGTGAAAAAGGAATCTAATGGCATAGTTAGACAAGCGATTGAAAAACAGTCTTATTATGACTTTTATAGCAAAGAATTTGTGAATTCATTTGTGACTTCTGACCTGATGAACCCTTGACTGACCTGAGCATGTAGGTCCATTTTATTATACCCTGATAATGATTTAGAATTCAGAGAGAAGATACTCCCCACCCCCACCCCCCCCCCCCCCGCCAAAAAAAAAGTATATGCTTAAGAGAGAGAAACCACCAGCAACCAAAAGAGTATTAACTTGGTGAGGGGGATATTTTCATAAAATATTAATGGCAGGGCCCTCGGAATTGACTACATCACTTGATCCATCCTAGTTTTCAAGGTGTGGTCTTGAAAAGCAGTCGATCGCCCTGGTTTTGGGATGTGTTTCAAAACCAAGTTTTGGTTGTGTGTGGGTGCTGTTTTCTTGCAGAGGACAGCTAAGGTTTTGAGTGAGCAGTTTTGGATCTGCTGAGCTGTAATCAGCCCTGCTTCTTAGTTGTCTTCTGAGGAGAGTTGTCTTTGGTGGGGATGGAGGTGTCCGTACAAGAAATGACCCGGGACTGAGGGGAGCCTGTGCTGTTCCCCTAATTTATGCTGCACCCGAAACAGCTTTTGAAGCACCTGGCTTGCGACTTAAAAGATTTTTAAAAAGTGTTTGTGCTGCCCTGTTCAGGTATGACACAATGAGGGGTGAACCACTCTTTTTGAAAGATGTCTAAGGCCATGTGCGGCGACTCACATCCGTAATACCAGTACTTTGGGAGGCTGAGGTGGGCAGATCACTTGAGGTCAGGAGTTTGAGACTAGCCTGGCCAATATGACGAAACCTCATCTCTACTAAAAATACAAAAATTTGCAGATCGTGGTGGTGCGTGTTCATAATCCCAGCTACTCAGGAGGTCGAGGCACAGAATTGAGCCTGGGGGTGGAGGTTGCAGTGAGCTGAGATCGAATGACTGCACTGCAGCCTGGGTGACAGAGCGAGACTCTGTCTCAGGAAAAAAAAATAAAGACATCTAATTTGTTGCAAAACCATCAAGAACCTTCCCTTTAAAAAGCTAACACCTCTCTAATAAAAATAATTTTACTTCTGTTGGAATTAAATTCAGAGAGGATGGTGTTAGTGCACAAAATAAAGACTGTCAGTTTCTTTTTTTTTAATCCAAAGGCATTTCCTTACTGCAGGAGACCCAGGACTGTTGGCAGAAGTTTTGTGTTGATTAGAGCCCCGGGCCATGGGAAGCCCAGGTAGGGTGGCCACAGGATTCATCGCCCAATCCCTGGCTTCCTGCACAAGCAGGATTGGTACAGATCTCACCCACAGGGGTCTTCCTACACAGGGAAACATAATCACACAGGTGACTGGAACGGAGTCAAGGATGGCAGTGTTCCTCCCAGGAATTTACTAACACTGCCAGCAACTCAAGAAGTAGCTAGCCAGGAGTTTCACAGTCAGTGAAACTGACTAGGTCCTGCTGCCTTTCATGAAAGCCTTTGTGAAAATGAGCCCAATAAGGGGCCCAAACCTTGTAAGCACAAGACCCGC